GATCCCACCTAGGAAGTGAATGGCACTATTTTAACAGTAGAACATCTTGGGAAAATCTAAGAGGCTTACTCCTAACTTAAATCGTGAACATGGAAGCCACACCAGTTGGCAGGTACGTTCTCCTCTACAAAATCTACATGGACAGTTCAGTTGTCAAGCACCACAGAAAAACTTAACTTCAGCCACTTAGGATAGTGCATGTACTAAGGTTCTAAAAGAGAGCCTACATCTAGAGTAAGGAATCATTCATAGCCATCTTCATGAAACATGGTTACCTCAGAGTTTTTCTGGTGAGATCTGAGAATTAAACATGGAACCAAATGATGCCTTACTAACATGTAACCATCCAAGCTGCACGGACACGTACAGGTTTAGGCAAAGTCCCGAAAGAACTATATTTAGCCTTTCATATCCTGTGCAGGGCCGGCGGCTCGCCCTAAATGTCCCACCAAGGACAAGAGCAGCAACTTAGTTCGATTTCAGTACGATTATGGGCAGAAATTAATAGAGGCCCTTTTCACAAAGTTTAAGATGTAGAGTAGAATAAGGGAAGACCAAAAAAACAGAACTCCTATGAAACCAAAATAATTCCCCATTGGTCTTGTACTCCGTGAAACCCTGAGATGAACTGTAGTGGTCACGTGCCTAGATTTGGACCTCGGTTTGCCAGGACACTTCAGTAGGCTTCGAACTGGTTCATCATCAGCTTCCTGCTGTATTCATAGGCCAGAAAGAGCGCCCCATTGGCAGGGAACGCTCGAATCATTGTGGGTTTCAGTCCAGAGTATAAGGCCGTTATTCCTAGAAGACAAGAAGTGATCAAAGAATGAGACACCCCTTCTCAGAGAGACCCTATGAAGCCGCAGAGCCCAGGGCTGGCCACGGACAGATCCAGACAACACACTGAATGCTGACAAGGGATGGAAGGGCTTCTGTCCAGGTGTCCCTGGACTAACGGGAAGGATGGAGGCTAATGGCAACGAGGCCAGGCATCCAGTCTTCCAGCAAATCTTGGGGACGCTCAGGTACCACACATGAATCCCGGGCTCGCTCCTGGTACATGGACTGGGCAGAGCGGAGGCCTCACCTGGGCACAGAGAAGCAGCCCCAAGGCCACAGGAGGGCAGCAGCCTTACAGTGCCACCTGGGAGGGCAAGGACCACAAGACACTGGGCCAAAAGCACAGTCCTGTGTCTACAGCTGGCACTGCCCAGACTGTTACGAAGATCCAAGTGGATGAGGGAGGCGTAAGGACTCTGTGAAACTATGAAGTTTTATGCAACTCTGGAGTATGAACTGAACCGTTTCCACACCCTGTGACCGCTCTCTCGCAAAATCAAGCCCGAAAAGTTCACATCCCGAGGTGGAAGATGTAGAGTGGATGCTGAAAGGACAGGTCTCCACTCACCAGAGGCATGATCCTGGCTTTATACAAACATCACCTAGAAAATCTTTATACTCCTACGTTAACTCTCAAAATTCAGAGCCAATCACCTTCAGAAAGTCTTAGCATTAGGGACTTGGAGCACGTTCTTTTAAATCCTTTAGTGGTTCTGTTAGAGATCGTTTTCTGATACTATCTATAGTCTATAAAACAAGGGGTGCTGACTTCCAAGCCTTTGTCCCCTTAGGCACAATCTGGAGTTTTAAAGTTCCCTCCGGGCTATTTAGAACAAAGAATCCTGGCCCAGAAGTGAGGAACAAGGACATTAAACATTCTTGAGAATGGAAGTAAGCTAAGGAAGGGGCGCTAGAAAAAGGACAGGAGGCAGGGGAAGAGAGCAACCACACACACGTGATCGACCTCCACGAGGGTTATAGCGAAATGACCGGTCTAGACGCACCCACTCCATTTCTGCAATGAGCAGACTCCCTTCACTTTTCACAATGCTTATAAAGGTTCCGATAAATCCTGCCTGTTTTCCAGACATGGAAAGAACTTGAATTCTGGATTTGACGCAATCCACTGGGTAAACAGCAAGCCAGAGGCAGATCCCACCAACTCCACCGCTTAACATCAAAGGGACAGGGCCTAGAGGAGGAAAGCAGCCAACAGCATTTCTGTCTCAAGGACAGCATTTCCAGAGGTCAAGGTGGTAGTGGGTGCAGGTAGATGCAAATAAAAATGCTGAAACTTGGGGCACCTGTGGCTCAGTCCGTAAGGCATCTGCCTTCAGCTCAGGTCATGATCTCAGGGATCGAGCTCCCTTTGGGCTCCCTGCTCAGAGGACACAAGGTCCCATGTGGCACTCTGGGTCTGCCCCTCACCACAGGACCATGTCAGTGCTGATCACTGTGGCGCTGTGTCCCTCCCAGCCTGCCCTCCAAGGGACTGGCCCACACAGAACCAGCAGGCCCCCAGCAACATGGCAACCCGCCCCCACCCCATGGGGAATGAGAACAGTGGCCACTGAAACACAGGTCACGTTTTCTCCAACCCTCTCAGTCTGCAATATTTCATTATTTTAATGCCCCATAGCCCTGAGTCTTCCTCTACCATGAAAGCCAAAGTTGTCTTATTAAACACGATAGTTAAGCCTGGGAGCTTGCCTAACCCCAGAATAAGTCCAGAACACTGAAGGGATGTGTTAAGAAACAAGTAATCATTCATGCAAGCCAAACACTGCCATGATTGCGTCAAGCAGCTACACAGGACAAGCTAGAAAGAATGACACTTTTCCGTCCTCTGGAAACACTCTCAGGAGTTATTACCAAGTTTCATGCTTATTGCAAAATGCTTCACAGGTGACTTACCCCTTTACTGACGAGTTGCCACAGGAAAGTAATTTCTATATTCTCCCCTAAAATGTTATTCCAGTGGAGAAGTCTGGGATGCACAGCTCCACCCCCCTGGCGAGGACATGAGTGCACCAGAGGAAGGTGCCAAGGTCCTTTCCAAGCCTCCAGAAAGCTCAGCGCCCAGCGGCCCCCCGCAGCGTCGGCAGCAAGCAGGCCACTGTGGGGCGCGCCCGGCCCGGCCCAGCCAGATGCTTACCCAGCTCATCCTTCGGTCTCCCCGATGCAAAAAACGACCTGCTCAGCTCGTAGCCGCCAAAGAAGAAGAAATAGCCAGGCACCTCTCGGAGCAAGGTGCTGGAGAGGCCGTGGTAGAAGCCCAAGGGGCCGTCCTTCCCGAGGACGCTCTTCACCACGGACCAGACTGTGCTGCAGGGAGACAGGGAGCTGTGCTTAGGGCCGGGGAAATGGGGGGACCGGGGGGCGAGGCTGGCACTCCCACCCCAGTGGCAGGCCTGGCTCAACCCTGGGCAGGCCGGGAATGGCTGATTCTAGAAACCCAGGGACCCAAATTCTGAAAAGGAGGCTTCTGCAGGGAGGAAATCTCAGAGAAGCACAGATCCTATTATTTTAGGACAGCTGTTCTCACCTGAACTATCCAACAGCAAGGAAATATCATTAAAGTGTGTATTCACAGAGAGCTGTGTGTGGCCACCGGGCCTCCGGCCAAGACTTCATCAGACCACGCCAGAATCCCGTCTCAGATGGAACCATGTTCACATTTCCCAAGTGTGCCACTCAGCAAAGGAAGCCCTGAGAACACTCCTGGAGAAGGAGGACCCTGGATTTCTGGAAAATCAGAAAGACCTCCTCTGACTGTGGACAAAACAATGAAGGACCTGGACCAGTGCCAACATGGCAGGGCGGGTTCCTAGAGCTGCTTTGTGCTAGTTGCAAGGCTCACCTTGCAGGCAAGGTCGATTTTATGGCACACAAGAAGCAAGGGAAAAGAAGTAGGTGCTACCGAGCCAACACTCCTGCCCGATGACCGTTCTCCCCAAGGGTGGTCGGGGGAGGTGGTCTTCAGGAATCTGCCCCACAGCTTCCCCCTGTATAAAGGATTCCAGGAGCAGATCGGGACCCTCAGAACACATACAAATAAAATCCAACCCCCATTTGACGGGCGGAGAAAGAAAAGTCAGGGAAAGCCAGACAAGCTCTGATTTTTATATTGCCTGCAACCTCTTGCCCTCAATAAACAAATTCACTTTTTAGTTCATTGGGGAAAAAAAGTGCATTCATACATTCTGGATATTATCCAAGATGTAAAAGAGCCAATACCCACTTTTGTCCAACAATGAATAAGAGAAATTACAATAAGGAGCTGTACAGGCTCAGCAAGAATAAAATGCCCTCGTATTTGCCCACACCTCTACCTCCTTCAGTGCCTACCCTCCTCTACCTTTCTTTTGAACGGGTGGATATAGAAGGAATCTGTTCAAATGCTTACGGTCTTTTTGCTTTGTGTTAGTGCAGCGAAGGAGGAAGGGAGTAGATGTTACTTGAAGGCAAGACAAAGGAAATTCTTAGAAACTCTACAGGGCAAGAAGCACTGAGGATTTAGTTCTTAGAAAGTAAGTAGGCAAGAATTTCTATTTCAGGCTGATCAGAGCCCTGGAGCAGCAGTAATGCAGGATCCTTTCTGTCTAGACCCCTCTTCCTGATGGTGCGCACCATGGCAGGCCTTATCTGTCAGGAAAACAGCAGCAGAAACCACATCTTTGGTGTGTTTTAGGGAACCCCCTTGCTCTTCACTGTGCTCTCAGCAGGTGACCTCGCTTGGACCAGTGAAGAATCAAACCCCCCGGTAATCAAAAGCATTTCAGAAGGCTTCATCAGGCATCACTCATTATCTAGGTCCTTCCTACAACTCCGCTCCCATTCTATAATGGGAATGTAACACAGTGATCCAACTCAACATGACGGCCTGCCTTCTGAACCAAGTCTTAACCCCAAGGTACCATATACCCCTGTGTAGGCCAGGAGTATATAGCCACACCTAAAATATTGTCAACCGATACTTACCTTTGTGCAAGGTGTCCATTTGCTTAAGTTTTTGGAGCCAACAATTACTTTCCTTAAAAATACCTTAGGAAGGGGTGCCTGGGTGGNTTACTTTCCTTAAAAATACCTTAGGAAGGGGTGCCTGGGTGGCTCAGCGGGTTAAAGCCTCTGCCTTCGGCTCAGGTCATGATCCCAGGGTCCTGGGATGGAACCCCACGTCTGCTTCCCTCTCTGTCTCTGCCTGCCTTTCTGCCTACTTATGATCTCTGTCTGCCAAATAAATAAATAAAATCTTAAAAAAAAAACAAAACAAAACACCTTAGGAAACCAACTGAAGGTTGCTGGAGGAGAGGTGGGTGGGGCGATGGGGTAATTGGTGACGGGCATTAAGGAGGGTGCTTGATGTAATGAGCACTAGGTTTTGTATTTAAGTGATGAATCACTAAATCCTACCCTGGAACTAATAATACATTATATGTTAACTAAATTGACTTTAAATAAAAAATTTAAATGAAAAAAAAAAATACCTTAAACTACTCCTAAGGGACATGAGAGCAACTTTCTCGGTTCTGTTCCTGTTCTACCTCTGAATCTGGGCATTGGTTACAAAAGTGTTTGTAACCACCAAAAGTGTTTGTTTCTTATGCTTTTGGACCTCTAGCTATAAATAATCGCTTCAAACTGGTTGTAAAGAATCTCCAGGGTGCAGGATATAGAACTCTATCAGAAACCCCCCCCTCCCTGGGAGGAGACTACTTCTGTAAATGGTCAATTAATCTGATTTTTCCAGTCAGATTTACAAACTGAGTCAACCACAGTGACAAAGAGCTTTAGTCAGCCAGATGTCAAGATAAATAAGCAAATGTTGAGATTAATAAAGACAATAAATCACACTGTGTATGACACACACTCATGTAACTAGAATCTGTTTGCAGGACTGAGGGGGAGAGCATTCTGATGGCTGCAGAGTAGCTCACGAGGGCTCTGAGGAGCATTCAGAAGCCAGGCTCTCTGTGGGTACATGAGAAGGGTGGGGGAGGGAAGTAAGAGAGTGACTCTGGGATCTGGGCTGATCAGCTCACGTGAAACCTGGGAACGGGCACCAAATATTCATCTTGGAACCCAAGTTGGCATTTCTGAAGGCTCAGCTCTCAGACACGGTTTCAAAGCTGTCTGTTGTGTGCCTCCAACACAGCCGGGGACGCTGCCTCATGCACTCAATGAGCCAAGAGTGAGAGGAGTTCTCGGCCTCGCCACTTCCCAGGTGTGAAACATCTGCAGACAGTGGTCCGTTGTGGGAGCAGGAGTGGGTCCGGCCCTCTCAAAGTTCATTTAGGAAGTCCCCCTCTGACTGGTAGGGGAAAGAGTTCTAAAAACACAATATTTTGGAGTAGATAAATCTCTTTCTCTGCCACTGAGTTTTAGTAGAATATAAAACTGACAAATACTCAATGCACCAAGGCAACGAGAGACCCAACATTTGTGCCCAAACAGCGCTTACTTGTGGCTTCTGGTGATCTTCCCTGACGACTCCATCTCATACATGGTCTGTAGCCAGCTCTTGACGAGCTCAGTGGGGCAGAGCACCAGGGCCGCAAAGGCAGAGGCAAAGGAACCCGCGGCTGCGTTCTGCAGATCAGTGGAAGGAAACCAGCTCGGGAGTCCAGTCATTCATTCATTCAGCACTCCCCACACAAAGCTCTCGGCTGGTAAGGGAGAGCAAGGATCAAAGGAGAGGAACACTTTCCTGAGTGCCCACTGGGAACTCGCACATGCGGTTTCATCTAAGGACCCCAGCCCTGGGAGGCCAACACCGATACCGACACCCCAATTTTCATGTGGAAAAACCGTGCTTAGAATACCTAATGTACCTGAAGTCACACCACTACCACGTGGCAACGCTGGGATTCAGACCTGAGTCTGCCTGACTGCAAGATCCAGCTCCTTTTATTAGTCATAGTCACGGCGACACACACGGAATGTGTCCCCCACCCCTAAGGCTCTATGCAGAAGCTGTAATTCCCCAAGGTGATGGTATTCAGAGCGGACCTCTGGGAGTGATTAGGTTTAGTGAGGTCGTGAGGGTAGAACCCCCCATGATGCAATCAGTGTCCTTATAAGAGGCCACCGCTCTCTCTCTCCACCCTTTGAGGACACAGCAAGAAGTTGTCCCTCTGTAAACCAGGAAATAGGCCCTCACCAGACACCAAATCAACCAGTACCATGATCTTGGGCTTTCCAGTTTTCAAAACTGTGAGAAACAAATGTTTATTTAAGCCATCCAGTTAACAGTATTTTGTTACAGCAGCCACAACTAAGACAAAGTGATATATAAGACAAAAAACAAAAACAAAAAAAAAAAGAGGGAGGAAAAAAATTACCCAAACTCCCACCACCCCAAAGACACACCATCACCAATACCTTGGCGTATCTGCCACTAAGCTTCATAAAACAAGGCTCCGGGGCCATCCCTGTACGCCCCCAATCCAACCTGGAACAACCACATGTACAAAGTAACTGTTGCAGATGAAAGCCCAGAATAAATCTTTAACCAAAAAGCTGCTCATTGCAAAAAAGATTTCCCAGTTCCACTGATGACCTCCTGACCTCAGCCACAGAGGGGAGCAGGAGCGAGGATGGTGGAGGAGGGGGGTGAAGGAGGGGGTCAGCAAGCTCGAGAGCTGGAGGTAAAATGGCTACATCGGGAATCTAAACGGAGAAACAAATGCACGTAAACACAAGCAGCATTCATTCCACCATAGGAGGGTCTGGTACCACCAGCCACAGTCACCAGCAGGGCTGTGAAAGCGAGGTCCCATCGGAGTTCAAAAATACGGGGAAAAGTCTGAGAAATTAATTGTCAGGAATTCTCTTGAGCGTTCACAAGGGTCAGAAAATAAGATCCCTTCCAGCCCGGGAGTGTTCGGTCACAAGAGCTCTGCTGGCACCCGGGACTGGGCAGGAAGAGTGAGCTGCTCACAGGACAACTGACTCCCTGACTCTCACCTGTTCAAGCCAACAGCCTGCTGTCACCTAACCACCAGGACGCCACACCCCCGTGAAGTGTCCCCCTCCCCTGGCTACTGAGAACCCCTCACAAGTTTTCCCCAAACCATGAGCAAAAGCCTAACAGACTGAGCACATGCGACTGTCCGGGGTTCCGTTAAACAGTCACATAAACAGAGGTCAGACAGGAATAGAAAATCAAGGGCCGCCTCCAATCTCAGCCCCAAACACAAGTTCCCTAGTGACCTGGCATCGGTGCCATGGGCAGACGGAGGGCGGGGCCCAAGCCTGCCCGCTCCCAGAAGAGTTGGTGGGGAGCGAGGCTTTCTTCCAGGAGGGAGACCCTGCTTGCGTTCCAGACTTGCTTCTCATTTCAGAGAATCGGGTATGAGGCCATTACCCGGCGACATGCAACTCTGCTTGTGCTCAGCTTCTAGCGAATGGAAACTGTCCAACATGGTTCACACCTACTCAGCGGCCTGTCAAGACCAAAGCTTAAAGTGGCTTCTGCAGTCTTTCGGCCAGCCTGCAGATCCAGGCTTCGTTTCCCTCGGGCACCCTTCATCAATTTGCTGACCAGTAGCCAGAACGGCCAGGTTTGCGGGAACAAAGATGGCATCGATCGGTGTGGAAGCCCTTCAGCCTAAGAGTCGGCTGCCTGAGTATGAGCACGCTGTTCTAGTGCAACAACAAGGCCAAAGCNTGCCTGAGTATGAGCACGCTGTTCTAGTGCAACAACAAGGCCAAAGCACACTTGCAGTGGACTTTGAGTCCTCTCCCCTACCTGGGCGCCCAGTGAGGCACGCGGGGCCCCAGGCTGCACCTGCAGGAGAGGCGTTAGACCCAGAACTGAAACCGCAGCGGGCACAGGATGGGATTTGGTAAGAATCGGCTGCTTATCACCCATTCAACAAACATGTACCTGAACCCTCCTGCTGTGTTAAGACCCCATGTGGACAAAGGTCAAAGGAGAACTCTACTCGGGGTGGCATTCAAGCCAAGGACATGCAAATATTTACGGTATCATTGCTGAAATTCACGGCAGGCTCTTCCAAGCAGTGCTTTCCTTTCATTGCCTCTACTGACCACGCCTTCCTCTAGACCTGACCCCTACCACAGTCCAGAGCCCCGACTCTGGTCTTAAGGCAAGAGTACTGGACGGGGACTCAGAAGACACGGCTTTGGGTCCTGCACTCAGTTATGAGCTCAAGTAATAGGATCCTAAGCCAGTATCTGCAAGTCGGAGTCCCCAGCTTTAAGAGAGAACAGCAGGGGCTCTGCTGCTCTCACAGGATCATGAGGAGGGATGAACAAAACAGGACAGGTGTGGGTGCCCCAGCTCCATCAACTCTAAGGTGGTCTTTCCCTGCCAGATAATAAGCAAACACCGTTCTGTGGGATGAAGACGCAGCTCCCTCCTGCCTCACCAGGACCGGAGAGGAGGGTACGGGGTGAGACCACATGAAACAGAATGGCTTCTTGGCTGTAGGACTTCCTCCAGGACCTCATGTGGCTGCTTCCTACCTCCATCTTCTCCATAAGGCATCCTCCTCTGGGAATGTCACAGGGGACCTAAACGTCCCATCTTGTCCCAGAGAAAGTGTCCCCCTCTAGCAGGAAGAGTGACAGTCGCTACAGTGTTCTTTCTGTTAGTCTCTAGCATGAGATCCCACACTCTCCTGGTTTCTCTCCTGCTTATTTCTTTACTTCCTCCTCCTCTTCATGACCCCTTCTGTGCCGGAAGGTCCTGGAATCCATGCACAGCCCTCTACAGATGCTATCTCCCTGGATGATTCCATCCAGTCCCAAGCCTTTAAAAAACACGTTCCATCCAGGAAGACAAAACTCCTGCTTACAAAAGGGCACATCTTTGAGATCACTAGGCGTCTCCAGAGAACACTCTGTACAGAAGGGGCCTACAATCGGGTGGGACCGGAGTTGCAAATGGGTTTCCAATTCCTACCGTAACAACCCATACGGCTATCTGCCCAACCATGAACCTGATACCATTTTAAATGATTTAAAATAAATCAACGTTCAAAAAAGGGAGGGCTACACATGCCGGTGGTTCCTGAATCCTCTATGGTCTCTGTGTAAATAAATATGCAAGCGAGGACGCAGCACAAGCCGAAGTCCGATGTTTGGGCAGACTTGGCCAGACAAAGAGTCAGTCCATCCGCATCTTCACAGATGCTTCCAATTCCTCCCAAAATTCCAAGTTGCTCTCCAGCCTGTCTGGCTCAGGCAGCTTCTTCCAGTCCTCTGCACTGTGATGAAGAGGAACCCAAAGCTCGCTCACAAGTTGCACCTGTGGCTCCCGTCCAGCCCTCGTGCCCACAAGAGAAGCAGTACCACCAGCGGCATCTGAAAAGCATCTTCCTGAAGAACACCGGCACGTAAGGGCACCTCCTTCTCCACGGTGCATTACTGACTAGCCTTCTGCAAGTTTTACAAGACAACTTCACAATCAGAAACAAAGTGGTTATGTTAAAAAAGGAAACACTCTTCCCATTAGGTATCATAAAAATTTTGACTGGGCAACAACGTTGTGTTTCTAAACAAAGGAAGAAAGTGTTAGTGCCCACAACTCACCTCAGCCTGGCCTGCTTCTCCAATCCAACCACTTTCCGCACCACCTGTTGGCAGAAGCCGTAGCACATGAAGAGGACTGGGTTCTCGGCGATGTTGGCGATCAGCGCTGGGCTGGTCCCCTTGTAGAAGCCGCGGAAGCCCACCTGGGAGTAGGTCTCCAGGCAGCAGTCGGTGAGGCCCCGGTACAGGTCAGGGAACGTCTGCATCTTCACTTTCAAGGTGTCAAAGGGCTGCCCGGTCAGCACACATGCTGTGCCCCCTAAAACCAGGACAGAAGTCTCCTCCAGCACCAGTCTTCTGTTTTAGAATGCAGCCGCAAACACCCACAGAAATTTAGAGAGAGATAAGCACCCTACCCCAGGGCTTTCTTCTGTCGCAGTTCACTCCAACCTCTCTTCCCACCCCCNACTCCAACCTCTCTTCCCACCCCCCGGCAACCAAACCTCCAAGCCCAATTCAGTTAACAACAAAGGGTCCCCACTGTGCCCGGCACCCAGCTCCAGCTCTGAAGGAGCCCACCCTCAGTGGGAGAGACAGACACGTGTTCAACAGTCAAGACCGCAGGGTGCACAGGGGTGGCGTGTGTTCGGAGGTGTCAGCAATGGGGTCAGATGGACTTGGTCCTGAAGGCCGGCTCTGCTGTGAGAGTCTGGACAAGTGATATTAACTTCAGAGCCTTGGTTCCCCATCCAGTTTGCATGAGGATTAAATAAAAATGGACGAGAAGGCTGAAGATAACAGCTGCTGTGCCAACGGTTCATGAAGAACAGTCACTTTGTGTGCGGTTCATGAAGAACAGTCACTTTGTGTGCGTGCAGTCGTATTAAGGGAGGGAGGAGAAGTCCGGCAGGAGTGAATCACCCCTCTCTGCCTAATCCCCAGCAGCACAGATGACTATCAGAAAAACAGGGAAAAAGGCAACAGATAAAGATGACAAAGAGTCTGGCTAATCCCTAAAGAGCTAAAATTGGACCACACGGAAAATCTTCATCTGGATTCTACCAACTAATGATTCGTATTCAAACGGAGAATGCACTGAATCCTACCGTGCTTAGCACCAATCATGTATTTTTACACTTTTATATTGTAAGAGTTTAGTAAACAGCAAAATCTAAATTGCTGTAGAGGACCTCAATAAAAAAGCCTGAATGTAAAGAAAAGAATGAACTCTAGCCACGCCACCCTGTCATAACCCCGGACGCTGGACTAGGTCAGCATTTGGAAAATGCCACTCATTAATGCTTCTACCTTTCCTGGGCCTCAGAGATTCCTGCATCTCAGATGTCCACTGTTTGTGTCAGGAAACCTAACTATTGGATTAGGTATGTATGTATGTATGTATGTATGTATGTATGTATGTATGTATGTATGTATTTATAAGAGATTTTATTTATTTATTTGACAAAGAGAGATTACAAGTAGGCAGAGAGGCAGGCAGAGACAAAGAGGGGTAAGCAGGTTCCCCACTGAGAAGAGAGCCCGATGCAGGGCTTGATCCCAGGACCCTGAGACCATAACCTGAGCCGAAAGCAGAGGCTTAACCCACTGAGCTACCCAGGCGCCCCTGGATTGTTTTTAAAGTGTCATCAAAATTGAAGAGAAGGCTGGGGCCCCTGGATGGCTCAGTTGGTCAAGTATCAGACTCTTGATCTGGACTCAGGTCCTGATCTCCAGGTTGTGAGACTGAGCCCAGCATTGGGCTCAGTGCTCCGCATGGGGTCTGCTTATCCTTCCCCCTCTGCTCCTGCCCCCACCTCAAGATCTTTTTTTAAAAAATTGAAGAGAGGGCTTACATAAATATTGTATGTAATTTTATGCGATTTCATAACTGACATTATGTAGTTACTCTGACTGAATTGTGCAAAGTAGAGACAGGAGAGGGGCTGTTTTGAATAACTCCCACGAATTACTGGCAGATAAACATTTTCAAGGAGCATGAAGACTATGAGCTCTTCTTTTAAGCAATTGCAAGTTAATCTGGGATCCTATCCCTACATTCTTCTAGGAGAGATCACTTCTTCTAGGAGAGTAATGATCCATTTCCACTCTGTCTTGCCAAATTATCTTCAGTTCTGAATTAGTGGAACATTATTCAATAAGATGCTACTACAATTATAGTTATTCTCTCTCAGGTACTTCTAGGAATAAAATAGGACCGTAATTATATAAAAATAATTATTCCAAAAGAAGAGGTGAATGTCAGCATTTTTAAAGAGGGTACATAATTTAGGTAACCTAGATGCAGATAAACTGAATAAACCACTTCATTCAGAGCACTGCAATTTTAACTGGAACCTTTCCATAGTTTAACCCAATCATCTTCAACAGTTCCGACATCAAAGGCTGCTAATACATGGACTTTTTGCTTATCTATAACAGTTACATTTCCAACAGTGAGAAGGTAGGAGGCTAGTGTATGCTCAAATACTAACTACAATTTCCTCCTCTCATCTATGGAGATAACTGACTCCCATGTAATTTACCACAAAGGATACTGTCCAGGCCCCCCTTAAGTGGGTGATGATAATTCGGAACACCAGCACCAGCCACTGAGACCTAGCAGGTCCTCAGATNATTCGGAACACCAGCACCAGCCACTGAGACCTAGCAGGTCCTCAGATACCCATCAAGTATCCCAGAAGCTATGAATAACTTAGAGGAATATTTCTCCACTTGCTCAAAGCATAGACCTCTGATCATCTCATTCTCCTTGACTGAAAAATGGAAATAGTTCTGCATTCTTTCATAAGTGTCCCTAAAGGCCCTGCAGGAGAGGGGCTCAGACCATGGTGCACTCTATACTTTACCAGGGCCAGTGTTGTGGGTTTTCTATGCTTAAAATAGTTGAGTCAGCAAATAACAAGGTGGTAAAGAAATCTAACCTGGCAGGGATGGCGTCGGTGTTGAAAATGGGGATGATCAAGAAGCAAACCCTTCACCAGAATGTCCAGGACCACCTTGTCCACCCATGCAAAAATGGAGAACCTCAAACCCAATTGAGGCACTTGATAAATGTTCTGTTTAACTGCACAAGGAGGCATAATATTTTCAACATGTTCCAATCGTAAAAGGCCCTCGATGGATTAAATGCTCCAATAAAGAAAAAGGAATGGGGGGGGCTCAGTCAGTAGAAAATGCAACCCTTGATCTAGGGCTCATGAGTTCAAGCCCCACTTTGGGCATGGCATTTACAAGACAGAGAGAAAGAGAAAGAGAGAGAGGAGAGAAAGAGAGAGAAAGAGAAAGAAGAGAGAGAGAAAGAGAAACAGAGAAAGACAGAAAGAGAAAGAAACAGAGACAAATAGAAAGAGAAAGAGACAGAGAAAGAGAGAAAGAAAGAGAAAGAGAAAAAGAAAGAGAAAGAAAGAGAAAGGAGGGAAGGAAGCAAAGGAAAGGGAAGAAGAAAGGACAGAGTGAATGGATTAAAAAAGGAAAAAAAAAAACAAAAAACAAAAGCAAAACCTATCTATATGCTGCCTACAAGAGACTCCCTTCAGACCTAAACTCACATATATTGAAAGTGAAGGGCTGGAAAAACATTTAACATGCAAAGGAAAAAAAAAAAAAAAAAAAGCTGGAGTGGCAATACTTAATAAAATAGACTGTAAAACACTGTAGCAAGAGACAAAGAAGAGCACTACCTAATGATAAAGGCATCAATCCAACCAGAAAATAAGAGGATGTTACAAATATCTATGTACCAATATAGGAGACCTAAGTACATAAAGCAATTAACAGACACAAAGGGATAAATTGACAGTAATTATAGTACAGGACTTTAATACCCTGTATACATCAATAGGTCACCCAGACAGAAAATTAACAAGGAAACAGTG